TTTCAATTTCATAGTTAATTTTGTATTAACATCAAATTATATGTTAAAATAGTCAAATACAAAAATTATCTAAACTACTAAAAACAAGATTTTGGAAACAAAAGGTTAAGAGAGAAATTTAGAGAGAGGAGAGTCCTCTCAAAGTTTAGCGTGTAGAATAGGAGATCACATCCTTATATAGTACTTGGATGATGGAGGTTTCAATTTCATAGTTAATTTTGTATTAGCATTGAATTATGTTACAATAGTCATTAAGATTTTGTAACCACCAATTCAAATACAAATTAATTAGAGAATTGAAACTTATGAATTTGTTGCTACAATTTTCCAACAAAACTACCCATTGTGAATTGGAAATACTTTTTGTTTCTACACACACACACACACAAAGGAAGTTTGGTGTGTACGCGATTTCGCCACTCCTTGTGACAAGTGGACTAGAGTGCAGAGCACATCCAGGGGCCTTTGGGCATTACCGTGCTTTTGATTATAACACATATTTAGAGAAGGTACAACAATAGCAATCGAAAAGGTATGATCCGAGGAGCCAGTTACATAGGGCTAAATAGTGAACTATCTACTACAAATCTGATGTTGATCTTGAGCAAGTGATATAACTATATATTACCTGCTAGATAGCGATGATGATGACGACGACGATGACAATGACGAGCAAGTGAATACATGCTACAAGATAGAGCAAATAAACTTTCAACATCCAGATATCAATGACAAACGATTGATAAACATGACAAATGGGTTGAACAGCTCGTGAGCTCGTTTGGTCCAAGAGCAATGATGAGCCAAGCTAAAAAAAAAATGGCTGCTCGACTTGCCTGGCTCACGAGCCAAGCTATCATTTTATGAGACTAGAATGTCACATTGTTAAAAAATGTGACCGTTGGTAGCAGTCACATTTTTAAACAATTTTGACTGTTGGTCAGTAGCCAATTTTTGTAATTCAATTTTATTTTAAGAATTTTTCCTATAAATATCCCATCCCAACTACATTTTTAATGGCCAATTTTTTTAGTTTTAATTTTTTTTCCAGATTTTTTTTTTAACCCATAATACCCCCATTCGAACTTTATTTTTTTACTCACCGCAATTCATTATGCATTCTAAATTTCTCATTCAAGTATGATATTTTAATTTTTATACAATTAGTTGCAATTCAATCTAATTTGATATTTTACTGTTGAATTTATTACATTATCTCCACATTCTACCTTCTTATTCCAATTCCAAATGGATCACATTTTTCTTTCTCATTTTTTTAATATTATTTTTTGGAGATTAATGAGTTTAAAGAAATGTTTGTTACCTCCAACAAATCGCAAAGTGCTCCAATTCCAGCTTTGTCACGGCAATTAGATCATGATTTTAGCGATCTTAATTTCATTCCAGTTTTCATTGATTTGGCCGATGAAAATGTGCATGGAAGCACTGATCCAATTGATTATAATGACAAGGAAGAAAATGAATAAAATATTTTCAAATAGTAAAACAACGAACGAAAAAACAAATTACTAAGTGATTAGAACACTTCAAGCTGGTGGTCATAGGTTAAGTAAACAATTGTCATATTACAAAGTAATAAGTAAGTAATGCAAAAAAATAAATAAATAAATAAAAAAAGGGCTCTCTGCAAAAGGTATTAGAACAACCCACCTAAATATGCACTACAAAAATGTTCGGTCAAACACGATGCTTTGTATAGGTTCTAGTTCGGTACTTACCAGCCGTGTCCACTCACAAGAGGCAATGCACAAAGGTATGTTTATGTTTGTAGCCAGTGGAAAGTATCACCTTAACAGGATCGGTCCTATGATTGTCGGGGTCCGAGGTGAAGTCCAAAAATTAGACCTTCAAAATCAACAATATATTATACAACATATTGTTAATTTAAAATTTAAAATTAAAACAACAAACAAATATCTCAATTATCTCACAATTAATGAAAAAACTATTTTCCTCTTCCTTTTCCTTCTTTTACTATTAGGGAAAAAAAAAATTGGGCCAAAATAGGCCCTTTGTGGTTTTGGGCATGAGGCACAGGCAAATGGACCGACCCTGCACCTTAATATAGTGGACAACCCACATCATGTACTACAACTCCAACCCATGTATGAAAAAAATGAGGAATGATAAACAAACAAAGGCCTTGACAGTCCCTGTGTGACGCACCCTCCAAGGCCTCTGTCACAGTAGTATTTCCCTGAAAATATTACTAGAAGTACTCTTCGTTATGATGCTATTACTTTATAATATAAAAAAATAAATGGCTAATAAATTATTTAAATAAAATATGGAGATGTTTTTATATTTTACGTCTGACTTGTAGGGGTATTTAAAAAATAAAAAAAAGTTACATAGTTATTCGTGCTCACTAACTAGACAAAACGTGGATAATGATATGTTTAATACTTTAATGCGTATTATTAAAGAATTTAATTTTAAGAATAAAATTTGTATTTTTACGGTTGACAATGCAAACGATCAACGTAGTTGATGAATTAACTCGAGTCCTTAATTTCAATTTTGATGGTATTCCTTTTCAAAGGTGTTGTCATACTTTTAATTTAACTGTGCAGGATGGGTTAAAACTAATGAAAGTGAAATCGACATAATTAAACACACTAACATTTATTTCGATATCTCCTATTATCGTAAAGAGCATGGAGTGGAATTCAAAACATTTGTCACTAACATACGTTATAAATAGAATCCAACTTACCTTTTGCTAAAATCTTGTGAAGGCTAGAACATCTTATTACTATTTATTACAACACATGACTCGAATTACAAGAGCTTGATCAGAATTGCATTTCAAGTGAGAGAATTTTTAAAAGTGTTTTCTGACGCTACTAAGGATCGTGAGTAGATTATTCCACTAGTCCCCAAGTTCTCACTCACTTTTATCATATTGCAAAAATTTTAGAAAGTATAAAACACCATACATTGTTTTTATATCATAATAGCGATTGAACATAAGAAAATATGGGAAGAATTTACCAATATTGTTCCCGTTAGCTTATGTAATGGACATTATGCACCTATTTGAGGCCCATTTTTGGTTAAGAATTCATTTTAAAATAGTAGATTGATAGAGAATGTGTAGTTAAAAATAAGAAAAATTTTCGAACTTGCGTTTAACATTATTTTATTCAAAATTCTGTGATTGAAAAGAAGAGAGAAAAAATATACTTGAAAAATAATGGAGATCAAATAAGGGCAATTTATAATTTAGAAGGTACATAAGTTGCTAAAAGAATCAGGAACGGGCATAGAAACGGAAAATGAACCTATTAACTACTGGTTAGGTTTGCCTATCTTATTAGATTTGGCCTATAGAATTGAACTCATTGGATTTGCGTTCCTATATAATAAATACTCCCCTTCAGATACGGATATAGGGGGGATTGGGCTGGGTTGTAATCCACCCCACAGCCCAAGGAATTTATTTCTTTTTGATGCATTTTTTCTTTCACGTATTAGCCCCGACTTGAAATTTTGTAATCTGGTCTTGGATCCAATCCTGAATCCGTTTCTGCTCCCCTTCCTCTTGTTTACTTTATTGGTTTTGTAAAGGCAAAGAAAGTTCATGACCAAGAGTTTGTGATATGCACGAATCCTATCCTTGGTCAATATCAAATGCAATAGAGGGTGGTTTTCCTTTCCTTTTCTTTTTTAATAATTATGAGACGTATGCCCAAAGATCTTGTAGGAATGTTTGACGTCCGTCCGTACTAAAGCCTAGCGCTAATGTGTTGGCATTAGAAGTTGATGTCGATTCCGATGCTGAAAACCCAAGTTAGTATTATTAACAATGATTAGTACTAGTGGAAATAAAAAATATCTATTACTTCTTCTTCCCTCAACCAAGGTGCATCGAATATAGGTTTAGATAGAATACCAGTAGAGTTAACTAGATATTTTTCTCATGTTACGCTTACTATTTTAGAACCAGTAGATGCAAAAAATCTAAACTTCGTCACTTTTAGAGATCAAACGAGCATCAATATCCAATTATTTTCCTATATAGCACGTGATTTACTAATACTTGCGATAATTACTGTAGCATCAAAGTTTGTTTTAGTTCAGGTGGTAGATTTTATCTTGGTACAGATCAAGACTTAATAAGACATACTCTGGAATTTGATGTGTTTACAGAACTGCGAAGACGTAGAGTTTCAACTTCTTAATAAATATGCCAAAATACTGACTAACTAGGAATTTATAAGTTCATCATAATTTGTCATTAAGCACGTTGATTTCCATAAATACTATTCACTTCTTAAAAAATAATTGTACGCATAACAACTTATTCTTGCACGATTCCACTTATATTAATACTAACCAATCCGAAATCGAAAAAACGAGGAGAATTTTTAAAAGCATCAAAAAAAATTTGCATATAGCTCATGGCCTACTCGACTTGATCTGTAAACCAATGAACTTATGGGTCAAATCAGCCATGGCCATGGGCTCGTGGTTACATAAACGACTCAACCTATTGCAATTCCAGTGAGCGAGGTGCTATCCAGATAGTGAAGTCGAGCAATTGAAGTATTGAGGTTCAAGGGATTTTAGGGGGTGTCGTTGAAATAAAATATCACAATTTTCGCTCTCAATTATTTATTTCTTATTTAAAAAACATATTTTATATTTAAAATAATAAAAAATATTCCAAGGGGACTACCACTCGTAGCAAAGCGGGAGGGAGAATGACAATTTGCAATTAAACGATTTGTACATTAACTTTGACATCCTTGTTGATAAATGGATGGTATGACAAGATTGTAATGGTTGAATTAATAGTGTAAGATGTGAAAGTTGATATGAAATTGTGTCAAGTGTAAATTTGATAAGTAAGGGTGTGAATTATGATCTAAGTGTAGCAAGATTAGACATTTTGACACCCCATAATTCAAGCCTAGTCTTGGATAGACGTACACATGGGCCAAATATTTTGAATAATTGGGTTGAAAGGCTAAGCCCAAAATTAGGCAACCCTAAAATAAAAACCCTTATTATTCCGCCTTTCATTTCCCCATTAGCTCACGAAATCTATCTTCACCACACTCGGAAACCAAGCAAGCAAACATGCCAGGTCCCGTTATTGAAGAAATTGATACCAACAAAAATCTGCAGGTACTATCGTTTAAGATTTTTCCATCTTTTAATATATGTATTCTGTGTTTTGAATCTCAATCTGTTTATGATTGTTAATGGACAGATGGATGAGCCTGTGGTGGAAGACGTGATGGAGGATGAGGAACACGAAGATGACGCTGAGGACTCCGATGATGAAGACGATGACAAGGAAGATGGTGTCGCAGGTAATTTTTCTTCTCTATTTTTATTTTTTTTAATGATTATTGTTATTTTTTACTATGAATACTTATTTAGTTCTTAAATGTTTACTGCTTATTGTCTAATTTTTTGACATTGAATATGCTTCTGATTGATGTATAAGTATCTGGAATTTGTAATGGCCCGGAAATGTTTATGTTTTTTAAGCAGGTTATTATATTATTATTTACCACAACCTAATCACAGAGTTTTGATTTGTTTGTTCTTGTCCGCAGCTGGGTTAAACTAATCCCAGCTACTCCAACCCTTGCACCAGTTTGGATTAAAAACGTTAAATTGGTGTGAAAATCTCCTTCAATCCAACTTCATATTTTGACACCAAATTGTTTCATCTGGTGTAATTTATAGAGATTTTCTTATTTTCCATTTGTCCTTCATTTTATACTATGATAATTTTAATTCCTATTATATCCTTTTTAGTACATAATTATTTAATTCAATTTATATAATTTTAATTTGATTATTATTTTTATTAACATTTATGATAATTTTAATCAATTAATAAATAATAACTATTGAATGCAGTACAATAAACTTAATTTTTAAACTTATTAATAAGGGCAATACTTTAGTTAATTAAATGTAATTTTTAAATTAGTAATTTTAGTAGTAATCGAATTTGTAATTAACTAATTCTTGAAATAAATTAATTGTTGAGAATTAATACAAGGAAACAAAGGAACGATTTTTTATTTTGGTGTAATGAGTTGGAGATGGCTAAATAAGATGGTGTGAAAGTTGCACCATTTTGATGTGAATGTTGTACCATTTAAGTGAAGTGGGTTGGAGATGGCCTAACTAAAAGGAAGAACCATAGAGTAAAAAATCTACTGAGATGCCTATGTTATCTAAGTAATAAATAGTGTCCGTTATGATGTATTATTGTCATAGTAATGCATTTTTCTTAATTAATGTATGGCTTCGTTATGGTTATTGAGCCATTTCAGGAACATGTTTTGTGAAATGTTAGTACATTGTTTGCATCAATGCAGCTAAACTTCACGATGATATTGGATTTTTTTGTTCCATATGTAAGTTAATTGAGTTCAGGACACCCTTGCTTTTTACCTTTAAGCTCTGAACTGCATGAAACTATTTACCTGGCTAGATATCTGTTAAAATTTCCAAAATCTTCTGGGGTTCTTTAGTATTCTGAACATGAATCAAGATGATTCTAAATGTTGGAACCTCCTTGAGAAGAGTCAAGGATTGTTAGGATCATGCTCATATCGACTAAGCAAATCCTTCGACCAATTTTTTGGTTCATTTTTCTATCAAATGTTTGTGCAAGCTCTTCAATGTGTACAAAATTTTGTAAAATTTCTGCAATCTGAGTGTTTAGCATCAAGATGTCTTTTAAACAGTAGTTAATTATTTCTTCTGCTTATAAAGTCTAGAAAAACTTGAGTGTTTGACATATTTGTCAAACTAGCTTCTTTTCTATGTTTTATTTTGATAGAAAAATCATCACAGGGACAAATGGGAGTTCTAAACAAAGCAGAAGTGAGAAGAAGAGTCGTAAGGCAATGTTGAAACTTGGAATGAAACCTGTTACTGGTGTTAATCGTGTCTCCATTAAGAGAACCAAAAATGTAAGTTTTGTGTCTAATTCTGCTTTCATTCTGTGACTCTATCTAATTTGCAGATATTTTAAGTATCATGGATATTTCTAATTTATTGATGCAGATATTCTAATCTTCAAAGCCTTTGATAAAATAATGGTACTGCAGGTATTGTTTTTCATATCAAAACCTGATGTCTTCAAAAGCCCAAATTCTGAGACCTATGTCATCTTTGGGGAGGCTAAGATCGAGGATTTGAGCTCGCAGCTGCAGACGCAGGCTGCCCAACAATTCAGGATGCCAGACATGAGTTCCATGATTTCAAAGTCTGATGCATCTGCCCCAGATGCTGCCATACAGGCAGATGAAGAAGAGGAAGAGGAAGAGGAAGAGATTGATGAGACTGGCGTCGAGGCTCGTGACATTGATCTGGTCATGACCCAAGCAGGGGTGTCAAGGAGTAAGGCTGTCAAGGCTCTCAAGACTCACGATGGAGACATTGTCAGTGCCATCATGGAGTTGACCACCTGAAATGGATTATTAGCTTAGGCTTCAAAGTTGCTATTGTGATGATTTTTGGAACCGATGCTGCAATTTATTTTATTATTGTTTTTTAACCAGCGAAACATTGATAATGAAATTGTGCCTTTCTTTGTTATCGGATATATTATTAGTTGACATAAAGAAGTTTCGATTTGCACCATTTTTTTATCCTTTAACCTGCATTAAAGGGTGCACTTGCAGCATTTCAATTAAGTAGGCTACCACAAGGAATGTCAATTCTTAAGCACAAGGCACTTCAATTTTTTCAATAGTTCTAATTGTTGATTATTGCTTTCTTAAGTTCGTTTGTGGACTTGACAAACTTGTATATCTTTGGTTTCTGTTTATGATTGTTACTCGAAAGTAATTGCAATTTTTTTCTCGTAATTTTACATTGGAAAAATAATATTATCTTAATCTTGCAGAGAATAACGTTAAACCAATCATTCTTTCAGCTATTTATCACTTTGCAGTTTGCTCGAATATCTCCAGCATAGCCTGTAAAGACACGGGCTCGACCCATCTTCACCATTATGGGTTCATTGGCAGTTCGGCACCACCTAGTTTGGATTTGTGCTTCTCTAGGCAAACTGCTTCAGTTGTCCGGCACACAATGAATCGAAAGCTGGGTCCTAACTAGAAGTCGTGTCGAAATTATAAAGCCTGTTACTGAAGGATGCACGACGAGAGCGACCAATGGTTTGAGCTCCTGACTATTACAAGACACTTTAAACCGATTGGAAAAACAAACTCCATAAAATCAGGTCTAAAAATGGAAGTGCTGTAAAATTGGACTAAAATTTAAGCCATTTCGACTAGTTTTAGTGACATTATAATTGTGTGAATAATGTAGGAGTCTTACCAGAGTGTAACCATTTCTTCCTACTTTAATATCTTGTTTGAAAAGGTTGGAGTGAGTTGATTTACATTAGATGTTGGAGGTGGAAAATTTGAAGTTGCCTCAGTAGCTAAAGAAATTCTGCCATCTCTTCTACCAGCAGAGCAAAGAGCATCATAGACAAGCCCTCCTGTCTGCAGAATAAAATCAAGTCGAAGTTGTAATCAACTTTGCATGAATGAGTTCATAAGAACAATGTAAATGAAAGTAGTCTTACTATCTCAAAACCATCCCTTGCCGTAAATGCAAGTTTATCAGCACCCCAAAAGATTCCTTGACATAAAGCTTCGAGCCTAGCCTTTGCATTGTCAATTACTTCAAATCCTCGAAGTGTAGGATTCTTGGCTGGTGAATCCTTCTCTGCTGTGTTTGATGGAGTAGAGTGCTTCACAGCCCTATTAAGTACCACAAGTTTCTGTTTAACTTGTTGGAACAAATTAGGCCCCTATTTGTGAGGGATTTTGTGAAAATTTTAATCAAATTTTTGACATTTGAAAAAATAGGTGGGTCCCATTTATGCAGTAATTGTCGATTCAACATAAATCTAATTACTAGAAATGCCCTTTTCTACAAAACTAGTCATAGTTGAACATGCGATGCAATTATTCTGAAATACTTTATAGGTGTTATAAAAATAATATTTGAAAATGTGAGAATATAAAAAATAACTAATATAAATTGTTTATTTAGAATGAATTTTTTATTCAAATTAAATAAAAACCAGTTTGTGAAAATAATTTAAATGGTTGAACAAATCAATTATAATAGTCCCTCTATTTATTCATTTGATTTGAATTGAACATCCAACGAATACCATCACTTCTTCATATACGCTTAATGTGCATTGAATATATCAATTGAAAATTATTTAGCCTAGATACATATTATGCCTCCCTCCTTTACATTCTCTATATCTTAACATTCATTAAATAAATCAATTGGAAGAAAACTTTAAAAATACTCATATTTTGTTCCAAAATTTTTTTAATGAATTTAATTTACTATCCAATCAAGAGAAACGAATATATCAAATGTACATTGATCAAAACTAAATAATTGACAAAATAATTTATGATAATATTGTTCAACTAATTACTAAATCAAGTACATATTGAAAAATGAAAATATGGTATTATTAAAATAATTAAATACATATTGAAAAAAGAAAAGTAAGGTATTATTAAAATAATTAAATTATGATAAGGATAAAATCGTTTAAAAAATGATTCTCACTTGATATTATATTTAATAGATTATATTATATATTAATGAATTAAATGTTAAAGGGGCCGATCGATTATTTTACTTAATTCAATCAGTAAATGCAACTCCATGCACCGACAATATACCGTATAACAACATGAAATTCACTAAAAATTTGATACAAAATGGTTCACAGACACAAGCTAAATGTAGTAATAAGGACATTTCATTCTATAAACACAAATCCTATCATTATCTACGTGCAGCCAAGAGTTTTGTTATTTCTTTGTGATCGAAATTTTCTTAACCTAAAAAAGGGTCATGAAAATGCAATCTAAAATGGCTATATCTGCTCGCAGAGCGAGTGAACCAAAATCCAAGCTAGCATTGAATAAGAATAAGCTTGGATTCCTCTTAGCGACTATGAACAAATGCTTTCTCGTTGAACAAAAAGATGCCCATCTCTGAAGATCAACTTGACTAGATGGACGTGCTCATTTTGAACTCTAAGGCAGCTATGAATCAAGATCAAGACTTTCCTCGAGCATTCATGTCTATGGTGAGTCACTATCTACCTAGGATTCTGCTATTGACAGGGCGCAGCCAAAAATTTTGTTATTTCTTCGTGATCAAAATTTACTTACCCTAACAAATCGGTCATGAAAATGCGTTCTAACAAGGTCAGCAACCACTCCATTGTCTCCACTACAGCAATTTCAAACCTCATGTTTGACAATGATTTTAACCATACTACATGAATTTCTGGAAATCCCTACTTGAAGCTTATATTCCGTGTCAATTTTCTTGAAGAATTTTGGAAATTATGCTTTGAAACTGAAAAAAAATATGAAAGATCGAATTGGGGCCGAATTGAACCAAACCAGGCAGAACCAAATCTAACCACGAGTCCACAACGGTTTGCAAACCAATGTGAATCGTGGCAAATAGGGAGGTCCAAACTTTTCAAAAGTTGCAATTTGATCCCTAAATCAAGTTTTTGTCCGATTATTGTCTTTTTTGTTCAAGTCTTCAATTTTGGACATCGCAACTTTCAAAAGCTTCCATATTGGTCCTTGAGCCTTCATAATAAACGTTTCAAAAGTTGAATCTTACTTTCAAAACTTGCATATTTCTTTCGATTGCACTCTTAATTCTTCTTTTTTGATCTCGTGCAATCTGGTTAATCCTCAATTAATCCGAACTAACTCCAATTTGGCTCCTAATAAGCCTTTTTTCCATGCCAATTGCATCCAAATTATTTTTTTTCATATAATTAACATAATTTATAAAAAATTAAATAGTTATTCACTCAATTTAACAATAAATATATCATGATAGAAGCACACATATTTGCGTGGAATGCACTTATCAATTACTTATCGAGCAAAAGATTTTTTACTCATTATCAGTCTCAATCAATATTCTTATAATTATAAAAATCATTTATTTACTTTAATTTTGTTCAATCAATTCCAAATATTCTTCCAAGTTGTAACTATACCCTTGCTTAGTTCAACCACAAATTGGATTATAATTTTAAATTAAAGTCAATAATCAATATTAATCATATATTTCATAGGACCCACAACCCTTTTAACCTTACATTCCATAAATTTTTATAAAATTTATTAAAAATCTAATTTTTATCTAAACTAAGTATGAACGTGTATATGTGTTGAAATATTGTTCAACATTCAAGAAAAATGAAATGGAATTAATAAATATGAAGAAAAAACAAAAAAAACGGTATTAGAGGCAAAACTTTGCTCTATGCTATCGCATAGATTAATACTATGTAATCGCATGGCCAATTGCAGGTAATTCTAGGGCCTCTTTGGGTTGTTCTATGCAGTCGCATAGATTAATAATATGCAGTCGCATAGTAATACAAAATTGACCGTTAGAGGTCGGTTTCATACCGTTGCAACTCCGAATTGTGGTGGCTTTTCAACCTATTTTGGCACCAATTCATGAACATTGGTGGTGGCCTATATATAGGTGATGCATTTCGAGCCGAAAAAATAAGTAAGAAACATTTGTGATCCATATTCATTCCAATATCAAAGATCAAAATTTTGATTTACATTCATACTCTTTTCTTCATTGTGTTCTTAAATTTTGGACGGTCACACTTGTGCTTTAGTGTTAGATCATTTACAAAGCTTGATATAATCTTATGAACCATTTGCCAAAATCTTTAAGCATCTCAATCAGTCCCAAGAGGAGGCAAATATAGTTTGAGGACAGCAATTACTCGTTCGAGCCTTCGATCTTGTTCTTATCAAGTTTCTGGTGTTAATTATTTTTATTGTTGCATTATTGTGATATTATTCTTCTCTCTACTCCATTTCTCCTCCACATTTTCCAACAATTTCAAACTATATTTATCCTGCGATGGAGAACGAGACAACCATGGCGACCATCAAACTTGAATCAAGATTTGGTTCGATTGGATCGGTTTGATTGGACAAACTTCACGCGGTGGCAAGACAAGTTGAAATTTCTATTAACGGCATTGAAGATCTTTTACATTCTTGATCTAGATTTGGCGCCTTTGCCGGAACCAACAAATGGAGAAACCGAAGTAATCAAGGTTGAGAGACAAAAATGCCAAGAAAATGAGTTGATTTGTCGTGGTCATATTTTAAATGCTCAGTCAATCGCTTGTATAATCTATATACTAATACTTCTTGAGCAAAAGAAACCAGGAACGCATTGGAAAGTAAATACAAAGCGGAAGAGGAATGTACAAAGAAGTTTTGATTTCTAAAAACTTTGATTTTAAATTCTTTGACAATATTCCTCTTCTTCTCCAAGTGAATGAGTTGCAAGTGATTGTCAACAAATTAAAGGCGGTGAAGATTGAAATTTCGGAGATTTTTCAAGTGGGGGTTATAATTGTTAAACTCTCGGGGACCTGGAAAGGATACCGAAAGAAAATAATGCATAATTTCAAAGACTATTCTTTTGAACAATTGCAAAAAAACTTCGAATTAAGGAAGAATCCTAATTACGTGACAATATTGAAAACTCTTTGGAATGATCTTCTAAGGTAAATG